TTAGATTAGCAATAGCTACAGATAGATATATATAATTCTTGAATAGTTTAATCTCAAATAAACAGAAGCAGGATTGCTAAATTAAAAAAAAAAATTTATTTTACTATTTCTAATATCATATCTTTCTTTTTCCTTTTCTAATTCTTAATTCCCTTTAATCTTTCTGCTGATATATTTTAAATCAAACTTATATTACTAATCCATCAGGATCTTGACTATTGTATCTATTCTACTAGCAAAATTTTCTTCTTTTTCTAATTTTTGTTATTAATTTGTAAGTCTTCTTTGCTTGCTTAATATATTATTTTATTATCCAATTTGCTGAAATTAAAAATAAAGCTTTTGAACTTGTTTCTGCTTAAATTTGTTTTAAAATTTTTGTTTCTATAGGATCTTTAATATTTTGTTTCTTGATTTACTTTTTTCTTTTTTCTTCTTTAGTTTTTTTCTCTTTCTCATATTAAGTTTGCTGCATCTACTTTAATGAATTCTTTAAATTTTTTAACTAGTGCTTTTAATGTTATTTTGTTATATTGCTTTTGTCAAATTTTTTTTTGTTCTTGAAGTCTCTTGATCCAACTTAGTTCTAACTTCAACTTTATTTTGGCAAATTGTTTTTTTCTTTGTCAAACTTGTATCTTCTTTTTTTTTCTTGATTTTCTTTTTAATCACATACTGGTTTGCTGTGAAGATTTTAATAGATTCTTTAAATTGTTATACTATTGTCTTCAGAGCTGATTTATTATGCTGCTTTTGTTAATTTTTTTTTGTTTTTGAAGTTTCTTGTTCCAATCTAAATCTACTTTTAACCTTATTAACTTCATTTCAGCAGCTTGTTTTTCTTTAAACTCTATTATCCATCTTATTCTATTAGCTATTTCTAAAACAATTAAAATGTTGTTCATTTCTTTATATATAATATATCTAATCAGGTTCTCTTCTTTTTATAGTACTGCATGGTAATTATGGTTGTTTCTTTTTCTAAATACAAATTCTGTATAATTAAGTTTACTTAAATTGTATTTTTATAATTCTTTGTTAAGTTTTGCCATTTGTGCTTTAGCTTCTTCTTCTGTAATAAGTTTTTTTCTCAATATATTCTGCTAATATCAAATTATTAGAATATTTTCATTTTCATTAAGTGCCTCTACTTATACTCCAAATTTTTCTGATATAGTGATTATTCTTCCAGAACATTCTGTTAATTTTTGCTTTATATGACTTGTTGTTTTTCTGTTATTGTTTTTTGTTATTGTTGTTTATTAAGATTGTTTATTACTTTTATTTATATTTGTTATGTGGTTTTTGATATGTTTTCTTTGTTTATTCTTTATTACATATTGTGATTCTTGTATTACCAAAATAAATCTGCATTATAGGGTCAAGGCCGATTCTCCAAAAAATTTATAGCGCAAAAAAGACCGATAATTTCACATGATTTTTTCTATATCCTTGCCACTTTTGCTTCTCTAACTCAAATTTTTTAAGAAACTGAGTGTTTTTTACTGTTTTCTTCCTTTTTTCTTAGAGCTCTGAGTCTGGTTTCTTATTAGTCTTTGTGTGTTTTTTGAAGTTTTCAGTAATTTTGTTTATATAAATTTGTATACAGAGGATTAGTGAAAAGAGTTTGATTAAGTTTTTTGGTAATAGTTTAAAATAGTTGATTAATTAAAATTTTTAAAATATAACTTCTTTGAGTTATACTATGGCAATTGTTTGCTACAAAAATTATTAGAAAAAATCACTAGTATACAAATTAATACAATTTTTTGAATACTTTCTTTAATAGTAATTTATTAGTAAAGACATCTCGATTAATTTTATACATAAAATCTAATATCTTTATATAATTTTGACTAATTAGTGTGACATATTAAAATAAAATTAGATTAAAATAAAATGAGAAATAGTGTAAAATAGACAAGCCACCAAAAAGTACAAATTCTTGAAGTGCATTTTCTTAACACTCTTTTAGGAGTTTAGAAGCAGATTTTATAATAAACAAGTGGGTTTTAGATAATGTTTAAAATTTGATTTTGTTTCAATATGTGAAAAAGCTTAATAATTTTTGTAAATATAATAAAAATTCAAAAAATAGATGTGTGACATACAGTCATATCTGAGTTATATCTTCACTGGGTTATATTTCAACCTGAGTTATATCCCCATATTTAAGCAAAATAAATTTACTCTTTTTTATATACAGGGTGTCCCAAAAGTTCCTATACACAGACCCTATTTTTTAGGACCTTATATATAGAAATCACAATAATTATTTATGCAAATATGTAAATAATCATAATGAACTCTATATAATACTGTATATAGAGATCATTATCAGTTATGATTATTTTTATATTTACATAAATAACTATCGCGATTTCTATTGATCTCTATGTATAAGACACATAAAAAATGGGGACCGTGTATAGGAACTTTTGGGACGCCCTGTATTTTTATATATCTTATATATTGAGTTATATTCCTACCTTAGTTATATCTCCAAAAATACTCTGGAAAAAAGAGGGGATATAACCCAGGTATGACTGTATATGGCACATAATAAAATCCGCAGATTCAAAGAAAATTTCACTTGCGGAATTAATTTTCAATCTGCACCGCAGATTCCGCATATAGATTTTAAACACTGGTTTTAGGGGCTTAAATAGAAACCCTTCATTTCATTTTAATCCGATTTCATTATGATCTGCGACAAGTAGTATTTGAAATACCCCAATGGGGGCATGCCCAAAAATTTTCCCGTGCCCCCAACCCTAGTTGACTGTATACAGTATTTATTTATAAAATCTCTAACTACTTTTAGGCGAAGCAAATTTTCTGTTTTCATATCCCAATTTTTTTTCAATTTAGTTCTTTCTAATATCGATATTGCTTAAATTTCTACTTAATGTTAAGCGAGAATCGTTTTGCAGGCAAATTTTCTGCAAACTTCATGATTGATCTGTGATTTAGCTACCAAATTATCGTTATATTGGATTGTAGTCAATGTCGATATCATTTTGAATAGAAAATCCGGATCTAAATTTTCCCATTATAAGTGTATGATGTCTGAATTTATGATTTGATTGGTCAACCAACTTGTGATAATACGGTAGAGCGCGATAACTTTATGTAAACACTTTGACTCAAAGTATAATAAAGACAGAAATGTCATCGCAGAAGGTTCAACACTTGATCGACTCCATTAAAAAAAATTGTAAGCTTAAAAATGTTGACGCGACACGTCAGAAGTTAGAAAAGTTAGTGAAAGATGGTCTTGAAAACTTACAAATTGTTTGTGGTATATCTTTTTATCTGTCATATTTTTTTTTTTAAAAAAAAAAATAATCTCGTTTTATTTTTCTAATAAACTTTACAATTTTTTAAAAAGATTTTGATTGTACAATGACACGTTATTTTACTTTGAATCGTGAACGAAACCCAGGCTCACATAAGATATTGTCTTCAAGTTCTCGTTTAACCGAAGAAGTTTGTACACTTAAAAGCATTTGAATGTTGAATTTAATTAATAACTCATATTTTTTTTAATCAAGTTCAAAAAGGAAACGAACAAATTATTAGAAATTTATTATCCAATAGAAATGGATAAAACATTGACAAAAGAAGAGAAAACACCTTTCATGATCGAATGGTGGACAAAGGCTCATGAACTTTTAATAAGTCAACGTATCAATAAAAACGATATAAAAGAGATGGTGACAGAAACTCCAGTAGAAATGAGGCCAGGATTGGGTGTACTAATTAAAAAATGCAGGGACAACGATATACCCTTCTTGATATTTTCAGCCGGGATTGCTAGTAATTACATTTTATTTTTTTCCGACTATTTATGTTTAAATAATAGTATACAAGAACTTACTATTTTCGTTATGATATAAGATGTCATTGAACAAGTCCTTGTCACAAAGAACCTTTATTATCCTAATAATATGCATATCGTATCTAATCAAATGGGATTTAATCCTGAAACAGGAATATGTGACCATTTTAAAATACCTCTGATTCACATATTCAACAAAAGTGAGATCATGATTAAGGACAGTCCTTATCACACCATTATCGAAAATCGCGGGAACGTCATTTTACTGGGCGATTCAATTGGTGACATACATATGTCCGACGGAATTCAACACGAGACTTGTTTAACTATCGGATTCTTAAATCATATGGTTGAAGATTTAATAAATATCTATTTAGAAGCGTTCGATATTGTTGTAGTCGATGATGGACCAATGGATATAGTAAATAATATCCTAGATGCTTGTTCTAAAGACTCATATTAGAACTGGAATTGGTAATTAATTACATGTATATGCACAATTTTAGTGCAAATATTTTATAACCTTATTTAAATTAAATTTGGCAAGTATAACGATAATGCCTTAATAATATAAATAATTGGAAAATTTACGGGCGTATTATATTTTATTCTTATTATTCACAAGTTCTGGTGTGGCGAAAAGTGTCGCGTTCTTACAATGAATTTCAAAAAAGGAGAAATGATTACGCAGAATTACCTCACTCTATTTTTTTGTAGTGAAAAAACCAAACGGCTATTGAGATTGATATATGGGCTGCCGTCAATAGAAATAAGGCAAATTAACATTTTAAAAAAATTTAAAGCCTTATAACTTTCACAGCTCATATCTCGATGAAGTTTAAAGCTATTTTAATAAATTTATATTCAAAATAAAGCTTAAGATCT